TGTCCAGGGCCCGTCGGTAGGTGTTCGGTGTCGCCATCGGCTCCACTAATTCTAGCCGCGTGAGTTCATCCGTCTTTGCATTCCATGCCCGCGTAGTGCTTCACGATTGCTGTACTGTTGACTAGGGAAGCCAACATTACTTGTATAAACCATGTCTTCGATTCACCGGCGTAAGTCGAGCAAGGAAGACGACTCGGACGATGTGGTGAACCTGGATGTTGATGTCACCTCAAACTCCAACATTGCAGTGACACCCCCAACTCCATCGAGAAGTCGTGCACGTTCCTCTCCCAAAGCGAACTTGCCCTTGGGTCCGGGAATCCAAGGTCGGCCAAGGCCGCCACCTCAACCTCTGGGAGCAGGCATTCCTGCACGCCGTCCTCCAAGCGTGAGCCTAAATTCCCCTCCTACTTCTCCTTTCAGCGTGTCCTTCGCCGCAGCGCATACTCGTGCACACTCGCGCACACGGTCTATCTCATCCGGCCCCTTCGTTTCTCCCTTGCCCTCACCACTTCAATCTTCCTTCACGCCCGCCCATGTCCCTCTCTTCCCATTCCCAACCTCCAATACTGTACCAGAACTCAATGTTATGGATGCCGATACCAATATGCCTGATACACGAGCACTCCCACCAGGACACACTAGGAGACATTCCCGCCTTCACTCACGCAACCTCTCAATATTCTTCCCGCGTCCTCACGCTACAATCTCCGAGGACGACAGACCCGAAGACGAAGAAGCTCCCGCACCTCCACCAGAACCGCTCATTATCCCAACTGCTCACTCAGAAAACACCCTCGCGCCAGGTCGCAGCAGGGGTGAACTGGGACACCTCATTCTCGTTCGGGGGCGTACCTAAGTCAGACTCGACCCAAGACAGTACTATGGGTGGATTTAGAATGGCGATGAAGAGTCGCAGAGGACACCACCACCAACATTCCCTATCTCACAGCTTCTTTTCATTCCTCGAGCCTGGAACGGGACAAAAACACGCACCTGTTGTTCCGAATAAACTAGAAGATCTGCACACAACTCCGACGCCAACGCCCATCTCTCCTTGGACCCCAATATCCAACGCATCCCTCTTTGCACCGTCGTCGAACCTGTCTGCTCCTGAACTTATTCCCCGTTCCCAGTCCAAATCCCCCGGTGCAACTTCTTCCTTGTCTGATTCGCCTTCCTCTTCGAGTCTACCTGCATCATCCAATAGAGGAGTATCACGTTCCGGAGGGGCAGCAGCAGCAACGGCAGTTGTACAGTTCCTGCTCGGGGCATTTTTGTGGGCTCACGGACAGAGTATCGGGTCGTTGGCGTGTACAGGACTTGGATACTGGGTAGTTTTCGACGCGGTTGGCGTTGCGGGTCCTCCACTTATCGCATACCATGCAAGTGCAGTCGGAAGTGGTATGTATGGGTGAGTTATTTATTCTGCCCGTGGACGGCTCTGGTTTTAATACCCATCGAAGTCCGGCACGCAGCGAAACAACGCTGTTGTTTGCTCAGTGCGTGTATCTCATGTTTGCGGGTGTCTATGTCGCGAAGGAGGCCGTCGAGCATCTTTTGTTGGCTGCTGGCAGCAATGCGCATGCCCATGGCCACGGCAGTAGTGGCCCAAATAGTGGTACGTGTGTCTCACTCACAAAATAAATGATGTTCACAGGAAGCCAGGAGATGGGCACCATCACCACTGGGGTGACGAGAGACCGGAAAACCTTGGGTAGGTGGAATACATTGATAGGTACCCGTTTGCTTTCCTCACAGTTCACGGTGCAGCCTTCGATTCCCCGTCTTCCTTGTGCTTCTTGCCTTATTAACACTCGCCGGGACGACCACCGTATTTGGCCAACACGACGTTCTCGTTGATAGTACGTACTCACCGTGCCTGGCAAACGTTCGCCCATCAACTCAATCAATATATTGTAGTCACAAATAAACACATACCCTCGCCCCTCGAGTTCTTCCAGAGCCACCATCACGTTGCCTCTCCTCGGAAGGAATCGACATCTCCCATCAAGCGACTCGTTCGGAATCCATATGCGCTGCCTCCTATTTTGTTTTGCGTGGCCATTCTAGTTGCCGAGCTCGTATTAGATGTGTACGTTAGCTTTTCTCCGTCTTAGGACTGTTGTTCGTTAAAGTCCTTGGTTTCCTTTGTTGTGGGTGTGGGACTTGAACTAATATGTTTCGTATCTTGCTTCAGGGCCCATTATGCGCCGTTCGATCTCGGCCTCGCTGGCTTGCAGGTGGTGGTAATGATCCATGTTGCAATATGCGGCTTGTGTAGTTCTCGGTGGTGTATTGTTGCAGACTGCGCCTTCGATGGTTTCGGCGACGTCAGGAGGGATAAGGGGACCTGGTAAAATGGAGGCATTTTGGAGGGCCGTTAGGGAGGTAAGTGGATCTGGAGACGCATTCTTAGTTGTCATGTGCTAATGGCGATATGTCTCACCTGTTTATTACTGTTTTTACACAGATCGAACGTCACGAACACGTAGTACACCTCCCAGCACCGCACGTATGGCAAGTCATTCCAGCAGGCCAACTGCGTTCCGTCGAATGTTCTGTTCGTCCACGCCGGCATACGATCACAAACAACCATGCACACCACGATCACGATCGTAGCCACGGTCACAATGGTCATAACCAACTTTTTGTTCCTCACCACGATCTCCACAATTGCGATCACGACCCCCCAAATTCGCTCAGATGACTCGGACCTGTCTCCTACATTAATCGTAACAATTTCACCGGTCGTACGCAAGGATTTACCGGATTCGGAAGTGCTAGCTCTTACACAATGGGCGTCCTCACGTGTCTATGGGGCATTTGGATATATAGGGTCTGGATCTTTGGGGACGACAGACCGCAGGAGCGAAATCAGTGGGGTGGAGGTTACTGTGGGCGTGGTGCGGGGGTAAGTGGTGACCTTGTTCAGTTTCTCTGGGGTTTCTGGGTAAGACTATGTGTTGTTGTGGTGCGAAAGAAAGTTAGGGGTTCGACCGCTACACTTGTTCTGCTCTGGCAGTTTGTGCTATACCCAGGTCCTCTACAATGCGGAATGAATCTGTATTATCCCGTGGACAAACAACCCAGTGAGCCTGTGCTAAAGACTTGAATTATATGATCCCGATGGAATTGCCGTTGTGAGTTTTGTTTCATTTCCATACAGAATCCAAGGCAGGAGGGGCTGGATTTCAGTTATGTCATATCTTACGCTCACATGTCCCCACTTGGGCGTTACACCGCAGCGGTTTCATTCCTAATGAGGAAAAATATATATCAGTGTGCTCAGCGGTGGACGTCACGCCATGCTTATTAGCGGAGAAATGACTTCACGACACAGTATAAAAGTTGGTGGTGGATGGGGGAGATGAAGCTCGTCAGCGCAAGTGTTTTTGCCACCCCTGACAGCACTACACACTAGTAGAACTTCATATCCCTCTTCACCATCATATCCTCGCAATGTCTAGCGGACTCCCCATTAAGCTCAACGGTGAATGTTATTTCTGTTATATGCTACACATCGTCGATGAGTCGAGAATACTAAATTCCTGTATGCTTGTGTGTAGGCACTGTTATCATCACAGGCGGTACTCGTGGGCATTGGCTTAGCTTATAGTTGCGCTGCTGCCCACGCAGGTGCCAATGTCGCCTTGATTTTCAGGTACCCTCGCAATTCTCGTAACCTCCGCCTCGCCAGTATGCTAAGACACCGATCTACTTCTTGTGTAGGCAACGCCGTGAAGATGCGACAAGGCCGTCGAGGAAATTCAGAAGAAATATAAGAATGTCAAAGTCAAGGTTCGTACTCATGCGATCGAAGCACGTTCGGGAACCACTACATTGAAATGTACACAGGCGTACCAGTGTGATGTCTCTGATGTAGAGGCTACCAACAAGACTTTCCACCAAATCGACCAAGAGATGGGGAACCTGTCGGGTCTTATGGCGGTACGTGATCCTTACTCTAAACCTATCCTATGATTGACTTGTTCTCCTGCATCCTTCCATTTGCAGAATGCTGGTCGATCTGTCGTAAAGCCTGCAATGGAGCTCACCGAGGAAGATTTCCGTGTTGTATTCGGTACTAACGTACTCGGAGTCTTCAACTCTTGCCGTGCAGCTGCCAAGTGAGCTCTCTATTCCTTCGTCGTCCGTTTTTTTTTTCTTAGCAGAAAAAATACGTAGGATTTGGCAAGAGTCCCACCGGAGTGGCTCCATCGTCATCACCGGCTCTATGAGCGCACAGATTATCAATCAGGCTGCGACTAACAAACCTCTTACTCAGGTCAATTGTCGACGTTGTCCCTCTTTACTTAACCACCCTAACGCGATTTGGTTGCTAGGCTTTCTATAATTCATCCAAGGCTGCAGTCGTCAACCTTACCAAGGGTCTCGCTGCCGAATGGGCTCCTAGGGTCCGCGTCAACTGTATTTCTCCAGGCTACGGTACCTCACCTTACTTTTCGTCATACCTCTGCAGGCTAACGAATTTTGCACGACAGTCGACACTGACCAGACCCGTCACATGGACAAGAACATCATCAAGCATCAAGAGGAAAACGTTCCCTTGAGGCGCTTCGCTGAGGTGAGTGTTCGCGTGCTACCCCTATTTGCGAGATTAGTTTACATAGTTGATCGTGCAATGATTAGCCGCGGGAAATCAGCAGCCAAGCCATCTTCCTTCTTTCTGATCTCGCTAGTTACATGACGGGCTCTGATGTCGTCCTCGACGGGTAAGTGTATTTCTTGATTTGTGCCGATGGAGCTGATCCCTGTGTGCGTCCGCGTTAGAGGTCAGCTCATTTGGTAAATGGTTGCAATGGCTACCGAGAACAGCGTCGTAAAAAGAAAGAAATCGAAAGGATTGCAAAAAACAAATCAGTGTATGATTGAAATCGTGTACAGTAGCGGACGGATCTTGAATCAGAGTGCATTCGTCTTGTGCCATGCTTGCAGTAAAGCGGAGTGTGTAAATGGAGGGAAGCCAAAAAAAAAACTGGACAAATCCGGAATTGAACCGGACCCCTTCCGCAATCAGCGCGATGCTAAGCGGATGTGATAACCAACTACACCATTTGCCCGCGATAGTTTTTCTTCTTACAGCGGGCTCTTGTAGTGAAGAGGCAAATAGTGCCCGCCCAATCGGATTCCATGATGTGCACTCCCACTCGATCTCCCCAAGTTACAACATGTCTACGATAACTGTAAAGGTCGAGTTCGGGGGCGGATTAGAGCTGCTATTTGGGAACAAACGTGTTCACTCGCTATCCCTTCCGTCGTTCGTACCTGCCGATAACACGATCGCACCTTCATCACCCCAAAATTCTGAAACGTCACAACTCGCAAAATCCGACGACCCTCCTCTACCTGCCAATGGTCCAAACCAGGACCCAGTTAAAGGACTTGAAGAGACGAAGGAGAACGTCTGGATGTCCAGTACTTGATGCACTACCTTCGGAGTCGGCTCCTCACAGAGCGGCCGGAACTCTTCATGGATGGTGATACTGTGTAAGTTCGTCCCTGTTTCCTGTTATAACCAATCTTGCACCCGACATAACGAACCCGTGTTTGTGGAATCCAGACGCCCGGGAGTCCTCGTACTTATTAATGACACTGATTGGGAGCTCGAAGGGGAAGGAACGTATGAGATATCAGACGGAGATGATATTGTGTTTATATCTACGCTTCATGGCGGATGAAGGTTCCAATAGGAGGATCGCCGAGGCCAATGTGAGCCAACCGCCGTCGTGGCTGACTCGTCTGAATCGGCGATGACGACAGGGGTGGCGACCTGATCGCATCTTTCGGTTCAACCATCATCTTGTGCACACATATAATCAACACTGCCGCGCTCGCGACGCCAGATTGAAGGATGGCTTCAGCGATTCGAGTTTGTCGCTATCAGGCAGTCGATCCCAGCGTCGAATATCATTCTGGTAATACCAAGGTTACATCTTTGGATAATCTTGTGCCCGAAAGCTAAATGGGTCAAAGAAAAGTGAGTCTCGGTTACCTTCACACATGGAAATCTTCCACAATCGTCCCAATTCCTAATTCCTCTGCCTTGGAAACCACATACCTCGCAATAACAACGTCCTGTGCTCCGACGCCTACCGACTTGAACACCGACACGTCTCCAAGCTTCGTGTCCGCGTCTCACTTCTTCATTGTAATCTCTCTTTCTTCTGCCAACCTCCCAACCTCGATCATGTCTTTCGGCTCCGAGACCCGCAGCGATGATTTCTCTGACCTCGATTGCACATGAACTAATTGAATCAACGACGATCGTCCCTACTCGTCTTATGAGATCAGAGTCTACTTCAACCATGCTCCGTTCGAAGCTTCCAATGAGATTTAGATGTGTTCCAGTTGATACACACAGAGGGAAAAAGCAACTGACCGGACGTTGTTGCTGTGCAAGTTACGTTCGCATGGCCTACGACGCTTTGGACGTTGGTCTTATCGTCTAACACAAGTCCTTCAAAGACGACAGACGGCGCGATTGACGCAGCATGGAAAACAGGTTTTCCAAACGCGTATTCTTTGTACGATTGACGATCGTACATCGCTTAATGGTCGGAAATGCACGGATATGAAGATCCACCTGGGCCTCAACCTGTTTCCCAGCGCCAAGGCAACGAACGAGGTAGACGGTTCAGAGAGGAGTAAGCGTGTTACGAGGACAGAACATAGCTTCGTACAATCGCGCGAGGGATACCGACTGACATGACTTACTCCTTATTGAAGAGACTCTTGGGCATGCCAGAACTATGATAGCTCAACTTTTCACTGGGAGTGCTCATCTGCCATCATCCCATATCGACTCGCCTCGATATCCTTCAACGTGATATTACTCCCCTCACACATCCCCCTGAACAAACCACCCTCTTTCTGGTACAGATTATAAGGCGTATCAAATTCCTGTCATAAAAAAAAGGTCGTTAAGGTACGGAAACACGAAACAGCGATAGGTAGATAAACTCACAGCAACCATACCTGCGTCCATAACAAGAACGCGGTCGTAAGAAATGATCGTACGCAAACGGTCTGCGAAATGCGCAGTACAAGTAAGTCTAACCCCATACGCACTGACAGCACATCGGCGGAGATACGCACGCGCGATGCAAAGCAACGTACGATCTCGGAACTCGGTCGCGATGGTACGCTGAATCTTGTTGTCGGTCTCCAAGTCAACAGATGCACTACGGGCAGATTACTTATGGGGCGAAAAGAAGAGAGGCATTTGGAACTCACGTAGCCTCGTCAAGGACAACGACCTTGCAATCCTTCACGAGTGCACGTGCAAGACTGAGCAGCGATCGCTCGCCAACGCTCAAGTTGGCACCTTCGTGCTCAACCATAGTTTCTAGGGTATACCGGTTCGTGCACGTCTCTTCTTCTGGTTTGAGAGACGGCCGGTCGACGAGACATGACCTGTATAGCGCATCCCATATCTTGGCATCGGCGTATTGGTTGAAAGGATCCAAGTTCGACCTAATCGTACCTGAGTGTGTGGGTTAGGACAGGCCAGCCACAGGCATTGCATCAGGTACGTACCACTGAAAAGAAGATGCTAGATGTCTGGTTATTAGTTATTATCATCGTTGCATGCAGCCGATGACGCACGTCCTGAGGTATGATAGATATCTTGGTACGAAGATCCTTCAATCCCAAAGTCGATATATCGATGCTACAAGGTACGTTGACATACCCGAATTGGGTCCAAGCAAGTAACCTTTTCTTACCCGTCCAAAATGATAGTTCCACCCGATAACTCCACAATTCTGTACAACACCAGCATCAAAGAAGATTTCCCTGCGCCCGTCCTATACTGATCTGTCAGTTCCGTTCTATGATTGATCCTCCCACGAACTCGCATCGTACCTTCCGACGATACCGATTTTCTCCCCTCCTTGAATAGAAAGCGAGATCCCGTGGAGGGCGTTTGGCAGGCCGGGTCTATAACTCATCTGCACATCTTTATATTCTATGGCACCTTCGTGAGGCCAGTCAGCTGGAGGCGTAACGTCAGGTTTTTCGTGGGGAGCTTCCTGGGGAACGGTTTTTCCCCTGGTGTATTGCACAACTTTCCGCCAGGTCAGCACTGAAAGCAGCAGTCACTCGAATTAAGTAACAGAATCTCACTCCTTTCGACCGAATTCATGTTGTTCTTCAAAGTGCGCGTCAAGAGCACGGACGCGCACGATAAACACAAGACATCCTTACCTCGACGTCTGCCGTCTGCCTCGTCACAAAGGAAAGCATTTGCGACAATATCACTACAAGGAAATGACGAATGCCTGATCAACAGAATTCCTGGAGAGTACGCTCACTGGTATAAGTCAACACCAGGCCGATCTGTGCCGCGTTAATACCAGACACATCCGTTACCGCAAGCAACGCAACCTGCGTATACACCCATGAAGATGGGAATGATTATGGGGCGAGCGGGTACCACTCACGAGGAACGTAAGCGTGGCGCTCATGAATTCAAGCCTGACAGCAAGCCACCTCTGGTTCGCGATGACCGGGTACAAGCTCCTATTCTCCAGATCGATGTAATATCTATTAGCCTTGACGAATCTTTTCATCTCTCCGTAACCGCGTATGGTAGAAAGGCCAGTGAATGTCTCTGAGAAGTGGGCATATAGCAAGGAACGGAGCATCGAATCTGGCAAGTGTTTCTGAGTAGTTTATTCAGCATATAAAAATCAGAATACCTAGTCGCTTGACTTCTCGGGCGCTAGCACGATAAAACCCAACCAAGTAGCTGTAGCCCAGATATAGAATCACCACAGCGGCAACTATCAAACACGACATCTGGCTCAGTAAAAGTGGCAGAATGAGTGTGTCGGGCTTACGATAATATGGTTCCAGAATGGAAACGACCACTACAGACCCCAGAACTAAAGACATTGTAAGGATGACTATTGCAAAATTAGCGGTAAAGCGAGACGAAGAGGGAATTTTGTCTTACACGACCTGATCGAAACTGGAAACGCGAGTTAGGTCTACATAAACAGCCCCGTCATGTTTTATTAGCTCACCAGCTAGCTGGTTATCCATCACTGCATTCCACTAAAAACCATTGTTTTCGCAAGAACAAGGAACCACTCACTGTCCACATCTTTCCAAATACGCCCAGGATTCTTCCCACTGGCTGTAAAACATCATTAAGGTAATCCGTGTGCACTGCGGGAATCAAAGCACTTACGGTGGTATCGAAAAATGACATAGGGGCATGTAACACCGTTCTCATAGACCGGTAATGTAGGTTCTGGGAGACAAAATAGCTCATAAGATCGACACTCGCACCGCTGTACAAGTGATTGTATCATGTAATGACGACCATAGGTAAATCATACCAAAAACGCACACGAAGAAAGTGAACAAAGCTTGTCCAATACCGAAGCATCCGTATAGGATTTGATAAAACGAGTTGGGACGGTTCCAGGTACTGATCAAAACATGAATACCGTGACCCAACGAACAGCTAGTTCCAACTCACTTTGATTCCCACCAAACGAGGGTGTATGAACCCATGATCTGACTTACCTGCATCACGATTATGAGCGTCATAATGAGTGGTAGCATAATAGCACCACGCCCAGCAACCAGGTATGCCCAGTGTACTGAACGACGACGGGGTAGGTGAGTGCCCGGACACAATTCCAAGCAATACCTCAACGCACCTTTGAGGGATACGGATCCCGTGTTACGCCGTTCCTTGACTATCAGTCGGCCTTCGACCTTCCCTTCCCCTCCGCTCGTTCACGTGCTTTGGCGGATTTAAGCTTCACATCCTCGATTGTCACGTCCTTCTTTTGCAATGCAAGATTGTCACTAACTTCGTCTTCCTCAACGGCCTCACCCACACGCTCGGTGTGACCACCATATTCTTGGGCCAACCTTGCGAATTCTCCGTTCCGTTCCAGCAGCTCATCGAACGTCCCTCTCTCAACGATCACGCCATCCTTCATTGTGTATATGTAATCAACCTGAGGAAGGAAGTGGAGAGCATGTGTAACAAGAAGAACTGTCACTCCGCGACCGCGCAGCGAGCCGAGGATAGCATCTTCAA